GGGGTGTGGGGGGGGCGGGGGGGGCGCCCCGCACCCGGGAGAAGGGGGAACACCCACCGCCTGTGCCAGCTCCATTCTGCCGAGCCCGGTCCTTCCCGGTCACCGGCTGCTGTGCTCCCAACCGGACGCCCCAACATTACTTTCTCAGCCTCTGCCGTTCCCTCCTACCCAATCCAAACCAGAGCTCATCTCCCCTCCGCTGACCTCACACCACTTCTTTCAGCCCAGACACCACCACCTCAGCTACACGCTCCTGCATGAGCCCGTTTATCTCACCAGAGGAGCTGTGGCACAGTTTATGTTCCACTTCCTAAAGCTCAAGATGTTTCTTCACTGCCTCCCCTCCACAGAAAAGTCACCGTGGTGACTCCCATGCTGAAGCCAGACAACTCTCGGTGGCCACACTGCCACCTTGAAGCACGGAAGGAAAACAAAGAAACAATTCACTAAGTTAGTAGCGGCAAAGTCCCCAGAAAGAAAAAATAAAATTTACATCTCTATCCCATGTTGATGTCAGACTGGTTGTTGTGTTCCACTGACGCAATGACTAACCAGGTCCATTACAAAAACAAGAAAGTAACCATGAAATAAATAGATGTTGACACTATCAGGATTTCAGGGGTGTTATAATTCGTCGTTTTTCCTGCTTTGTCCTCCAGCTTCTGTCTTCTTCTCTTTTTTGGACCCTGTGTAATGAAAGTAAACCCAGTTACACGCCATAGCAGCTTCTACAGCACACACAGCACTGCCAAAAGTCCCTGACATTCATTAAATATTCCACTCAACCCTCAAGTCTCTGGTGCAGAAGGCAGGGGAAAGGAAAGAAGCACCTGGACAGCCTGCATGGCAGCTACCAAGTTCCAGACAAACATTTACGCACCAGAGTCTGGTCCAGGCTCGTTGTCTACTGTTACTTTCTCCGCTGTAGGAGGTTCCTTGGCTGGACCAACATCCTCGGGTTTGTCTGTGTTTAAAGTAGAAAAAGCACAAAAGTTCAGGAAGAATATATAGGAGAGGAGGTGCAGGGGGAGGCCAGAGGAACAGGCAGGGGACACTGCTGACAAACAGGATGGACTGAAAAGGACCAAGGCACTCAGAACCTGAGGACCTTAAAAACTTGTAATAAGTGATATATTATTTTCTGGGGTCCATCTAAGCCCCAAATGTTTCTCATCAACAGCTCATGCTATTCCTTGGCATAGGACATGACCTTGAATACTTGCCCTGGACACTCAGAAGGGAACTGATGGCTTATCATCCTTACGAGACAGCCAACCAGCCTGAGACTGATTACCACCCTAGGAAGTTTATAAACACTTTCTGTTCCTTCATGGAAAATAAAATAAACAAATGCTGAGGGATTAAGGACACTGCCATGCCTAGGTTTTCCCAGCAAACTTTGAAAACTAAGAGGAGGCCCATTTGAACCTAGTTAATAATTGTCTTCACTTACTTAGCTCCCTTTCCCTCGAGGTACAAGCGTGTCACGCACAGTAATTATGTTCTAGGAGTTGTGCACAGGCTCCCCACCCTCCTTACCTTCTTGTTTCCCCTCCGTGGGAGGGATAGTGCTCTCAGTTTCAGAGGTTGCTGTAGCATTCTTGCCCGAATCAGTTTTTGTGGCATTCTTCTCCTTTTTGGGTTTGGGTTTTGCAAACTTGGCCTTATTCAGCAGATACTGCACTTCCCTGTCCAGGGCTGCTGTCTTCAGCTCTATGTCTTTGGATAGCAGGATAGGTTTCTCAGTAGGAGAGAGCTTGTTCTGTTCAGCCAGTGTCTCGTTTTTCCAAGTCTGCAGGATGAGAGGGAAGAGGTGCTTTTCAGATGCTTTTTGGTTCCAGGAACCACTGTACATCACCCTATCTCAAAGTCACCACATCACATCTGACTCAGTATAACACTGCTCCCTGCTATTTCCACCAGCTTCTTAGTTTCCCAGACATGGGACAAAACAAAGAGGCAGAACCCTCAAAACTCAGCATGTGCCTTTAAAAACTGCAACAAAATTATTGGGCTACACCCACCCCTCCTGGAGACAAATATCCACAGGCAGCACAAAAACCATCATACCCCAAAATAGCCAGGAGTGAAGCTGAGCGTTGGAAAACACCAGAACAAAGGAGAGAGATTTGCTGGTGGCAGGGAAACCAGACATGCACACTCCATGATTGAGTGAAAGTACACGACCTGTTACTTCAGACTGGAAACACAGCCCAGCACCAAACCCTGCCACCTCCCCCCCCACCCCGGGAATCACTTGGTCCTTTATTACCGTGGTTTCATTGATGGCTTTTTCCAGGGTACTCAGTTCCACTTCTGTGAATATCTGGTCAGACTCTAGAATCATTCGGGCTCCCCTGGAAGATAAGAACATTTCTTTCTGTTAAACCAAACACTGTACCTTGGCAACTCTGTGTTTACGGCACCAGTTATCATCATAACAACTAGCCACTGCACACACCAATTAGTACTTTTGCATCTGCAGGAAACAGAGTCAGAAATCAATCTCTGGATGCCAAGAACGGAATAATACCAAGCCAGCAAACATAAAATCACAGAATCACAGAATCCTAGGGGTTGGAAGGGACCTCGAAAGATCATCTAGTCCAACCCCCCTACCAGAGCAGGGTCACCCAGAGCACATCACACAGGAACGCATCCAGGCGGGTTTTGAATGTCTCCAGCAAAGAAGACTCCACAACCTCTCTGGGCAGCCTGTTCCAGTGCTCTGTCACTCTCACAGTAAAGAAGTTCTTCCTGACATTCACCTTGAACCTCCTACGCTCCAGTTTGCATCCATTGCCCCTTGTCCTATCACTGGTCATCACTGAAAAAAGCTTGGTTCCATCGTCCTGACACTCACCCTTTACATATTTGTAAACATGGATGAGGTCACCCCTCAGTCTCCTTTTCTCCAAGCTAAAGAGACCCAGCTCCCTCAGCCTTTCCTCATAAGGGAGATGTTCCACTCCATTATCTTTGTGGCTCAGCACTGGACTCTTTCAAGGAGTTCCCTGTCCTTCTGGAACTGAGGGGCCCAGAACTGGACACAATACTCCAGATGTGGCCTCACCAAGGCAGAATAGAGGGGGAGGAGAACCTCTCTTGACCTACTAACCACCCTCTTTCTAATGCACCCCAGGATGCCATTGGCCCTCCTGGCCACAAGGGTACATTGCTGGCTCATGCTCATCCTCCTGTCCACCAGGACCCACAGGTCCCTTTCTCCCACACTGCTCTCCAGCAGGTCAGCCCCCAACCTGTACATGGGGTTGTTCTTCCCCAGATGCAAGACTCTACACTTGCCCTTGTTGAATTTCATTTAGTTTCTCCCTGCCCAAGTCTCCAGCCTGTCAAGGTCTCATTGAATGGCAGCACAGCCTTCCAGTGTGCCAGCCACTCCTCCCAGTTTATTGTCATCAACAAACTTGCTGAGGGTACAGAATGTACCCTCATCCAGGTCGTTGATGAAGATATTGAACAACACCAGTCCCAGTACTGACCCGAGGGACTCCTCTAGTCACACACCTCCAACTGGGTTCTGTCCCATTGACTACAACTCTCTGACTTCTTCCCTTCAACCAGTTCTTGATCCACCTCACTACCTGATCACCAAGCCCATACTTGATCAACTTATCTACAAGGATGTTGTAGGACACGGTGTCAAATGCTTCACTCAAATAGAGATAAATCACATCTACTGCTCTACCATCATCTATCCACCTAGTTATTTCCTCATAGAAGGCTATAGGGCTGGTCAAACATGACTTACCCTCGGTAAAACCATGTTGACTGCTCTTAATGACCCCTCATCCTTGATATGCCTAGAGATAGTGCCAAGAACAAGTTGTTCCATCACCTTTCCAGGGATGGAGGTGAGGCTGACTGGTCTATAATTACCCAGGTCCTCCTTTTTGCCCTTCTTGTAGACTGGAATGACACTTGCTGACCTCCAGTCCTCAGGCACCTCTCCTGTTGCCCATGACTTACCGAAGATTATGGAGTGTGGCTTAGCAATGACCTCCACCCTCAGCACCCATGGGTGTATTCCATCCGGACCCATTGATTTATGGATGTCCAGATTGCTTAACTGATCCCTAACCCAACCCTCATTAACCAAAGCTAACTCCTCCTTTATCCTGACTTCTTCTGGGGCTGTAGGGATCTGGGGCTCCTGGGGAAAGCCTGCAGGAGTAAAGACAGAGGCAATGCAGCAAGCCCTTCTTGTAGACTGGAATGACACTTGCTGACCTCCAGTCCTCAGGCACCTCTCCTGTTGCCCATGACTTACCGAAGATTATGGAGTGTGGCTTAGCAATGACCTCCACCAGCTCCCTCAGCACCCATGGGTGCATTCCATCCGGACCCATCCATTTATGGATGTCCAGATTGCTCAACTGATCCCTAACCCAATCCTCATCTACCAAGGTAAACTCCTCCTTTATCCTGACTTCTTCTGGGGCTGTAGGGATCTGGGGCTCCTGGGGAAAGCCTGCAGGAGTAAAGACAGAGGCAATGCAGCAATCACAAGATTAGAGAAAAAAAAAATAGAGAGAAAAGCTGAGGCTGCAGGATCAAGAGGGACAAATCTGCTCACAGACAGTGTGGCCACATCCTGTCCCCTCAGATCAAACAGAGCTGGTGTGCTCCTGTGAAGAGGCTCTGCAGAGCCAAGCACCAGCACGCAGGGTCAGGTCGCCTTTTCTCAGGAAGCACTAGGGACTTTCAGACCACATTCCATTTGGTCACGTTCTGTTAGTGTCTCATGAAGCACTATCCTCCTTCTCAACAGCTTGCTCTTACTTGAGGAAGATGGTCGAGTGGTTGAGCAGACTTTCCAGGGCAGCCAAGCGTTCTGGCCACTTTCTCCTCTCCTCTACACGGAAAAAGAGGTTCCTACAAAGCTTTTTCAGCTCTGCAAGCTTGTCTTTCAGCTCCTGCAAATAAGGGAGAGGGGAAAGGAGATAATTAGTTTGCCCACTGTCTGACACTAAACCTCAGAAGTTAAAAGTGCAGGTTTTGTCGTAACACCCTGACTACCTGCAGCAATACCTTGGTTGTGGCTGAATAGCCCTCCTCCTCCATCCAACTGGAAGCCTCACTAAGCTTTGTGGAAATTTCTCCTCTCTGCTCCTCTGTTGAGACAAACTGATACTCTTCTTGGTAAAGCTTGTCCTGGAAAGAACAAAGCAATGACTCCAGTCAAACAAAGGTCATCCAATTGCAACTAGGCTGGGCACTCCTGGAGTGCTGCTTGCTCTAGCCAGGAGATTCTCCTTCAATCCTCCCAAATCTGAGCTCCTGCTCTTGGTGTTACCAGGCACCCAGTAGCAACACATCAGGTATACAGACACACACACACCCGGTACATGATGGTAAAGCTGCAACAACCATCACTTCACATGCACTTAACGTTAGCTGCCTCTTCTGCACAGTGTTCTTGAGAAGCTGTAGCTTCTTTGCAGCCCAAGTGCAATTGTTTCAAAACACAAAACTCAGTGTACATAAAGACACTGGAAACCAAGTTTAATGCGCTAGACGTGCTGAAGAAAAGTGTTCATTTTGTGCTGAGGTAACCTCCCAAGTCCATGTGTGCTTGGGAAGCCTAATAGTGGCAGAAAAAGTAACTGAAGATGAAAGCAGGGCTCTTCAAATCTGCCTCCCCCAGCTCCCTGGCATTCCAAACAGCCAAGCTGCACAGAACTCTTCCACCTGCTCTCCAGCAATTCTCAGGTCTTTCTATCCCTCTTACCTGAGTCTCAAAGATGAAGGACTCCAAGCTGTTGGCTGATTTCTCTCTTTCCTGTTTCTCTAGATCTCTCACTGTCAAGTCTTGGAGTCTAACATAAGAGAAAAGAAATCAAAGGTAGCCAGTCTCTCTAGAAGAGCACTACAGCACAAACACCATCAGCAGGACAAAGGTGCTACCTGAGCTACCACTGCTCTAAAGCCACTCACTTCCCTTGTCTAGAGCTTCAACCTAGCAGAGCCATTTAAAACTTACTTCTTCATTGAGCTCTTCAGTTCATCCTCCAGCAGGTCAGGTACATCATTTACATCCAGCTCCATTGTGATCTCATGGACAAGCTTCTGCTTCTTGGGTGCTTTGATCTTCTTCTCTTCCTCTGTTTTGGTAACTGTGCTGTCACCGGAACTTTTGGACGGTTCTTCCTCTTTTACACTCTCTCCGTTTTCCTTGGGATCCTATAACAGATAAAATGCATTCTCAGGCAAGGGAACAGATCTGCAGATTTTGCAACTTTTTCCCATGGCAGGACACTAACTGGGTAAGAAGAATTCCACTTCTCAGATACTGGAACCTCAGTCCCACTCCTTCAATCTGATGCTCACCTGAGACTCTGATTTCTCGCCTTCTTCCTTCTTCTGTGACTCTGCTTTCGGAGGGGCAGTTTCTGCCTGACCTGGAGGAGGCTGTTTCTCCTCTCCCTTCTCTTCACCTGCATCTTCTGCACTGCCTTTTTGGTCTTGTTTCTCCCCATGCTCCTCTTTACCTGCTTCTGCCAGGCTCTCTTCCTCTTCCTGGTCACCACAGGCAAATAAAGGAGAAACCAAAACTGGTTTTAATGTAAAACTTACATGCAAATGTTTCACAGAACAGAATTCTCTGACATGCTGCCAGTCACCTTTAATACTGCCTCCTTAACAAGGTCCAGAGCAATCGCCCCGGGCTCACCTGAACCAGGTCTGTCAGGTTCTCTCCAATTTCTGGTGCAGAGCCACCACCCCCAAACAGGCTTGAGATGGTGTTTCCAAGTTCTGTCAATGGGAGACAAAAAAATTCAGACTACTGTGTAACCAGGAGGAAGAAATTAATCTTCAGCTCTCTCTGCTTCCCCTCATCACCCTCACAATCACCAAAGTGCTCCCTTGGTGGTTAGCTACATGCACTCCAGAAACTTCCTCCCCTGACCTCACTTTCCATTTTCACATGCATAGGCAAATGGAGCCTCCACCTCTGCTGGAGTATGATCTGAAATTTGTAGCTTCAATTAAAAAGCTTCAAGCTTCAACCTGTGTCTGCATTAGCTGCCCCTGCATCACCCCTTCTCCTCCAAATGCACAGATTTCCAGCTCCTCTCTGCAGGAAGTCTGTGCTCTAAAACCTAACCAATGCAAAGGACAGACAAGAAGGGAGAACACTGCAGGGCTGTGGATGCAGGACCTCCCCCCAGACAGACCTCCTGAAAGGAGCAGCTGTGGCAGCTATCTCAGTCACTACATCCAACAGGTAAATCCAACAGTTAGTATGAATATCTAAGCATTTACTTGTCAACGTTGACTCCTCCTCCAGCTTGTCTTCCACCAACGCCTCAAACACAGACTCCACCTTGGAGAGGGGAGCACAGCATTAGCTTTGAGCAAGGACCAGAACTGGAAAATACACAAACACCATGACAGGGCAGTGCCTACCCGGTCAAGACTCAGCACTCCACTCTCGTCCATGTTGAAGTGAGCTTTGATGCCTTTGGATTCATAATCCGAATGCTTCTTGAAACTGTCCCCAACTCCCTTTAGCCTCACGGTGGTGAGATTGAGAGAACCAAAAACCCTGATGACACAAGAGACAAAAGCAGAGAGAAACCTCAGAATAACAACACTGCAGAACAGTCAAACACTTCTCAGAGCCACACCTGGGGCAACAACTGCACAGAGTAAAGGACCAGCACAGCTTGGTTTGCTGAAGCACCTGACTTGGAGAACTGATCTGCAAATAGGCAGCGGTGGCCATGTGGATCCAGAGGCCTGCCTGGCGATGCCATTTTCCATCCAGGCACGTTGTGCTGCCCCAGGGCTCTCTGCCTCACTCACCGCAGGTCATCCTGGCTCAGGAAGGACAAATCTCCGTAGTTGACGTAGAACTCGAAGTCGTCTGTGTAGCGGTTGAAAGTGATAACCTTGCGCTGCGGGTAGGACGCCATGCGCTGGAACAAGATCCTCTTGTTGTGCTTCAAACTCTTGGATTTATCATCCTCCTCAACTTCACGAGTGAATTCCACCTGTGTCAGAAACAGAAAATATGCCTCAGCAACAGAAAACCTCCTTTGGCATCTTACATCAGAGGTTTCTGCAGCATTTGGCTGCTCCACCTTGTGCAAAATCTGGGGGACAGGCAAGTATTTTTCAGCAGATGCTTCTATGTCCCTGGCTTCTCGGATACAGCACTTCTGCCCCAGCATCAACTTTCCTCTGCTTTCTTTACTGGATTGGCAGAAGAATCTCCATAACGTCTTTATGCAAAGGAATCTAACAGGTCACCCAGAAGGCTCCTCCCAGCACAGCCCGTTTACCCACACCCTGCACTCAGAAAGCCAAGGGTTACCTGGATGGGGAACACAGCAGCATCTCGAACAACAAAAGGCTTCACCTTGAAGGCTTTGCTCAGAGCAGCTGCCTGGTACACAGCTCCCATGGCAGCAGCCTCATCAGCGTTGATGTTCTTGCCAAGTTCTTCTCTGCGAAGTGAAAAGCCACAAACTTCAGCTTTGCTGCGGCTGCCTCCAACAGCAATTTACCAACAGGACATGGAATAGAAGGGGCTTTGCATACTCACTTGCCAACAGCTTTCAGCAAAACCTCCTGCACTTTGGGGACCCGTGTGGCACCACCAACTAGAATCACCTGGTCAATTCCATCCTAGGCATTGGAAATAAGCACCTTTTCTTGAGAAAGCAACTTCAGAGAGCTAAATTCAGGGCTCCCCAGCGCTCCTTCCCTGTCACCACGCACTTCTCTGAGGGTACCTGTGCTATGTCCTGATGCCCCAGTGCAGGCCAGGGCCTGAGAGACCTCAGATACACCAACACGAGCCACAACATGGGAATCTGGGGTCAGGTCTGTCCAACAGGGACTGCATGACCCCTACTTCAAGTCACCTGAAATGTGGGACTCGACTGAAAATTAGACAGACAGCTCAGGGCCAGAGGAGTCAGTGATTCAGGCAGCAAGCTGGACCAGAACAGATGGAAACCTGGACTCTGAGAGTGGACTCAGTGTCTGGCACTGAATACCAGAGCCAAGTGATGTCCTAAAGCACCCTGGAAAGTGAGCATTTAACAAAGCAGCATGTCTGCCCAATGCACTGCACTGCTTTGGTCCAACTGCAGCCCGCAACAGGGCTCTGAAAGAAGCAGCCGGAACAGCAATCACTCTGCTTCCAGACACTTTCCAGAAACTTCCACTGAGACCAAGAACTAATATCTGAGACAAAAAAAGGCAAGATCAGTGTTCCACACCTCCAGCCCAAGTTTTCTCATAGACAGAAACCCCTCCTCCAAACCTTTTGTTTCTGGTGGGTAGTGCAGGGAGCCACAACCCACTCCTGCTGGACACCAAGCAAGTAACCTCACAGCAAAACCAACACTGTTCTGCTCCAACAGCAAACATCTGTACCTCTGGTAACACAGCCACCAGTGCCTTGGTCATGATGCAACAGCAGCTCCATACACAGAAACTTCAGCCCTCTAATGCATTTTTTAAAAAACCTACCAGGTTCATCTCTGCGCTTCTCAGAGCCTGCTGCACAGGCCCTGGGACTCGCTGGAACAAGTCAGAGCACAAATCCTCAAATTCTTGCCTTGAGACTTTGGCCTTGAAGTCGATGTCGTCCAGTAGCCCCTCAATCTGCCCAGGAAAAAAAACCAGCCAGAATTAAATTACTGGTGGAGCATTCTCCAAGCAAAATCTTTGCACAACTTGCCCACTGTGCAGAAAGTTCCAGGTCCCCTAATGCTCCTGGGACCTGACCAAATTAATCTGAACCCTACCATTGCCAGGGGACATGATGGAGCAGGGATATAAGAGTGAACATTTATGGAACAAACTTCACACAACTAACTCTCCTCCAATCCACTCAATCACCAGTGCCACCAAGCGGGAAGAAGTTGAGGGCACCACCAGTGCCACCACCAGCCTGGAACACCAGGAGTGATGCTCTTCAGTGCTTCAACCAACCCCACCCTGAGCCCTAAAAAAAGAAGGAACCCCAAGACAGCAGGTCAGACCTGTGCCATGTGATCAGCATTGGCGCTCAGGACGGTCTTCAAGCGGTTGGCCTCCTTCAGGAGCTTGGCCATGGCCCGGGGATTCTTCCGCACGTCTTTTGACGGGTGCTGTTTGTTAAAGAGTTTGGCCAAATAGTCCCGGAGGCGAAGCTCCATCTCTAAACCTCCAAGGGTACGGTCAAACCTGAGCAAAATGAACAAATGGAGATGTAACAACTCAAATTGAGATACAAACAAACTTCATGTATCATTTCATAAACATGCAGAACAGCAAGCGGTCAAAAGCAGCAGCTGAACTATCAGCTGCCACTGACTGTGGTAGAAGGACAGTTGCCCTAAAGATAACACATTATAATGAAACAAAGGAAATAAAGATTCACCATCACAACAGCCCCTGAGCCAGAAACTTCGTTACACTTATGGTTAAGGCCTCATAGCCAAGTATGTCAGACAGCCGAGAAGCCAAAGGATAAATGTCTCAGGTCCCAGGTTATCTTGAAAACAGCAGTAAAAAGGTTTTGGAGTTAAAATTATGGGCTGGTGATTCACAGCAGCCCTCTTCTGACCTGGCAAACACTAACTGCGCTGCATTTTTGCTGTTCTTCAGAAACACATTCCACTTTTTCAAGACACACTCTACTTCTGTAAAATTATAGGAAATGGAATGATGCTACAATGGTTTGAGGCTCTAAACAAAGCAAACCTGAGGCAAGCTAAGCATACTGGTTGCCATCTGGAAGTTCTCAGTTACCTTCTGCACAATACATCAACACCAGAATTATCATCACTAATTACTACCAGTTTCCCACTCTGCCACTGACATCCCACATGTAGAAGAGGCTGTGAAACAAATGATTTCTTTCCTGAGACCTGTAGGTTTTGCACAACTCGTGTTGAATTCTTACCCAATGCCCTGGATCTGCAATTGAGGCTGGGTTCCCAAGTCCTTAGTTTTCACTGTCTGATAGGTAACGATAGTACAAATGGTGCTTCCTGCCCCCATGTCGTAAAACATGATATTCTGAAAAGAGAAGCTAGGATGGTGAAGGAGGAACACCCAGATATCCCCCATGAACAAGGACAGAACCCACAGCTGTCTGAGCCTGACACAGGCCCAGACTCCCTGCTCCCTGCCCTGGCTGTACACAGTAATGACAGGACTTGTACTTTGGTCAAACACAGGAGACATTTGGAGCCATGCTTGACACAAGGTGACTAGAACACTTTTTTCCTCCATTTCACAGATCAGAAAACAAATGTTTGTGCTTTAAAAGCTTCTTCAACCTCAGGAAAATAAAATAAAATATTTCAGAGTTGGCCTTCCAGTATCTTAGAAAATCACTAATGTTCTTCCCATCCCGGCTGATGGGCAAGGAACAAACACAAGTTTACAAGATGGGAACTTCCAGAACCTGCCCTCACTCCAGAAGCTTTCAGGCTTCACCACGTGGTCACTGAGCGTTTTGTCGCCTCCTCTTGTTGACAATCACATGAAAGCAGAGGAGACCAGCAGAGCACACTTCCTCACAGTTAAGCCCTTTTAATGGTACCTGCAGCACTTCCTCCCCCACATGCAGGCAGGAGGCTGGGACCCCCACACCCACCTGGGCCGTGGCATTGATGTCCTTCCTCCTGAACACGCCGTAGTTCAGCGCCACGGCCGTGTTGTCATTGATCAGCTGCAGCACCTTCAGGTCGGCCATGCGGGCGGCGTGCAGCACCGCCCTCCTTTCTGCCTGGTTGAAGTAAGCAGGAACAGTAATCACCACGTCCTTGATGGGCTGCTCTGAAAGAGGGACAGGGGACAGGTTTTTCTATCAGACTCATTATCCCGGGCTGACGGTAGCAAAGGCAGAGAATCCAGGGTGTACATCCCATCATACAGAATGCAATTCTGAGGCAGCATCAGCATCCAGGATTGTTAGGGATTAATCCATCCCCTGCTGACACCACATAGGCATCACTGATTCTTGCAAAGCCAGGCATCTACCAACTTCCCTTTCACACATTAGGACACTCAAATGCTCTGGGATGCCTCAGATTTCTACCAGCATCATCGTCACAGAGCCTTACTTTATCACTACATTACATTCACTCTCCGCAGCAAAACGTTTTTGGACTGGCTTTGGTGTTACTAAGCAAACACACAACCTCCTAGTAACAACACAAGCAGTAATGAATTTCACCCCGTTTACATTACTGTGGCATTTCAATGGCAGCACACCAGCAAAAACGCATCTGTTAGCAAGATTCACAGCAGAGAGCAAGTCTTGCTCCTTAATTGTAGGATTACAATCACAGATCCGGACAAGAGCCACTTCCACCTTCCCCTGCAGCCACTTACCATTGTGCCTCTGCTCTGCTCACATGTGCAAGTGAGGAAACGCCCCTCCCACCAGAGGTTGCCAGAAAGGTTCCTGCACTGCAAGGCAGGGTAGGATCTGGGGTGCCAGCCCCCACTAACAAGATTAAAACTCTAAACTCGCAACAGAATAGAAAAAAAATTACAACCTGACAGCTGCTCTTGCTTATTGTCTGCAGCTGAAGAGACCCAAAATTTGTGGGTTTTCAGACACCTCAGGTCTCTACTCAAATTCTATGATATATAAACGCACACAGATATTATAAGAAACAGCTAAACCCTTCCAACCTGCAAATTCCTCAGCCAGACCACGTGAATAGTTCAGGACCATGCCCAGCATCTCCTCTGGAGAATACTGTATCATTCTATGAGAGACAGGGAAGAAAACAACAATAGAGTCAGCTGTGGAAGCCTGGTAGCCAAAGTCCCAGCTGCAAAAGCCCAGAAGCAGCCACTTACTGGGACAGCTTGAAGATAACAGTTTGCCTCTTCTCGTCCTTCACCAGCTCATGTTCTGGGAATCGGGACTGGTACAGCACCACGTGTGGATTGTCAATACGTTTACCCAGCAGGTCCTGGAAGTACCTGAATGCCACCTTGGGGGTCCTTATGGACTGCAGAAAGAAAAAGCACATCACCCAGCCGCACCTCTTCAGCTCTGCTGCTTTTAAACAAACCCCTCCCAGGCTATGTGGTAAAAAATACTGGTGCGGAGATTACGGGCACAAGACTGGCACACAAAGAGCCAGTAACATACGAAAAAAATGAGAAAAGAAGCACAGGACAAGAAATAAAACTTCCCAACTCAAAGGACCCAGCAGTGGGAATATAAGTTCTGCATACAGGAACTGCACTTGGCACAACCAACAAGAGCTCTCACCATTCCTAGGGCACTATCCCCAAAAAGACGCTCGTTCTCCTTCAAAGAAACAGCCACCGGCGTTTTCCTTCGTGACTCTCTGGATAGAAAAAGAGGAACAAACCACTCGAAACAGATGAACATTGAATGTGGAGCTTCTGATGAGGACAGCTAAGGTTAAAACCTCAGGTAAAGTTTTTTTAACCTCGCAGGGTTAAAACCTGAACTGCTGTCCTGAATGATACTGCACAGCTGCTCAACAAGGGCAGGAAGCAAGGCAGACACCCCTGAACGAGAGGATGAGACTGCTACCCTCACAGCAGCCTTAGCAGGACCCCCAGTACCCTCACACGCTGCCCAGTTACGGTACTTGCAGCACTGCTTCCAGCCCCAGTAACGCATACTGAACTGCCCACGTCACCCCCGCGATACCGGCACTAGAACGGGCCGGAAAAGCACCCACTCACTTGTTGAGGACTATCTCCATGGGCACCCCGGGCTTGACAATGGCAATCTTCATC